AAAAAAAAAAAATCTCACTTTCAGTCAGGTTTACCCCAGATGAATCTCTGAATATAAAATATCAGTGGAAGACTGTTTCTAATAATAGCACACGTAAGTCCCGCTGGCCAGTTTCATAAAGGAACTTTGGGGGCTCCTCGTCTTTGGGGCCACCACGAGTCAGCAGGGTTGGTATAACTTTGTACCTTGGGGAGGCCCTGGCTGGACAGTGCCTTTCACTGACTCATGTACACCCATGCCTGATGCATATGCCATGGGCAGAAGAAAGAACAATTTGGATGACCTAAAACTCCAGACACTGAAGTAGACTGTGTTAATGCTATTTAAGTGTGAACATGTCTAAACTTTGGCTGGAAACTCCTGATTTAAATGGCAGATACTTTCAAGCAGAAAGTATTTATTTTGCCTCATTAATTTAAGCACAAACTTTTCCCATATTGTCATTCTAGAACATGAATATTTATGGAAGAAAAGATAAAATTGTGTCAGATTGTATATTTTGAAAATTTTAGGTAATTTCAATAATATATAAACTTCAATGGACAAAACATTCCAATAAGCACTTAATGGGGCTCAGAAAATAATATCCCACAGTATGCCACCTTGGCAAGCATAGTACTCTGAACCGAAGGATGTTGGAAGACCTTAGTCTCTCTGACTTTCTCTTACCATCCTCTCTCCCACCACTCTTTATGCCCCAAAGTGAGTCACAGAAACCAGAATTCCGCCAGGCACAGGGGTTCATGCCTGTAATCATAGCACTCGGGGAGGTCAAGGTGGATTGCTTGAGCTCAGGAGTCCAGCCTGTGCTAGAATGAGACCCTGTCTCTAAAAATAGCAAATTCAAGAATAGCCTGAGCTAGAGCAATACCCACATATCTAAAAACAACAATAGCTAGGCACCTATAGTCCTAGCTATTTGGGAGGCTGAGGCAAGAGGACCTATTGAGTCCAAAAGGTTCAAAGTTTAAGGTTGCTGTAAGCTGTAACATCACAGCACTCTACCAAGGGTGACAAAATGAGACTATGTCTCAAAAAAAAAGAAAGAAAGAAAGAAAGAAAGAAAGAAAGAAACAGAAACAAGAATTCCTCTTCCCCCAAATGGATCACACCTCTCCACCAAAGCAAGCCATGAAACATAGAAAGGTCATTGCCTCCCTTCTTCTTGAAGACCCTCATTCCACATTCTGCAAGGTTCCTGCTTCATACCCAAGAAGAAAGAATGCTAGTCAGAGAGGCCAAGAAGAATCTGAACATACAGCCTCACTGGGTTTTCCTGCCCTTCTCTCTCTGTTACCAT